AACTGTTGTATTCTGCTAACATAGGTTAATTAATTTGATTGATTAATTGTTTAAGGTATTTAATTAGCTAGGTAAGTAAAGTGGTAGTGAGTCAGACATTTGGTTATTTAGATATGTTTAAGTAAATAAATAATCAAAGTATCACAATCCCGGCTTCAATGTTTCGTTGGTTATCATCATTAAACTGAAAGATGAGATTTCATGTAGTTACTATGTATTACATTGCAAAAGAATTCACGCCTATATTAAGAAAAGTTGCATATTTTTGAAAAAATTATTATCACTCTGCTCTAGTGTTAATGTCCCTTCCATTTAAGAAGCTTTTATAGTCACCGTATTGGTATCATTAATGGTAGGGCATTAAGAAGTATAATAATGAGGTTATTTATACTACCATGATAGTCTATTTTCAGTTTTATTATACTTGCTCTCCTTTTACTCTATACTGCCTCCTGTTTTCTGGTCAGTGATGAGTTGGATTCTGTGGCATTATCACAACTGGGAAATTTTGTACTGCGCAATATGCAGCATTATTTCAATCTGGTGGGAAAGCGAGTGGAGCGTGAACAAGAAGGTGGAGCAGGGGACACGTTGGTGCTGGTACGAGCGCTCGATCGCTTCCACCGCAGACTTCAAGCTATGAACACGTTGTTTTCTGACACAGATTTTGCTAGGTAAAAGTAAGACTTACTTGGATAATGGATATATTGACATATTTGTATAGGTTATTGTGTTTCAGAATTTTTTGGAACACATACTCCAGTTAATGATACAGTAGTTCTTTTGGCACTTACTATGGTTTTTAAAAATATTATTGTAGACACATTCCTTGTTTAATGTTGTTGAATTACTTTTATAAAATTCTATGCAAATTAAAAGGTGCTGTAACAGGACTGAAAGTGTAGTGGATATATTTTAAAAATATTTTCATGGTAATTTTGCATACTGTATTGGCATTGAGTTTAATTTATTGCAGATTTTAATGTGTTACTGCAAATTGTGTAAATATAATAAATATTTCCTTGTATTTAGGTATATACCATGACAAGGAATGTTCCATTAAAAATTGTGGATCTTTACATTTCATTTCTGTTATACACAGTTCTTTTGTGTGATGAGTCATTTGTGAAACAAATGATTAACTTTGACTTCAGTATCATGTAGAGTAAAAGTTATATTGGACCAAATATTAAAGTTGCCTATAACTATAGTGTAGATTAGTCTGACCTAAATCATTTGATTTTGGAGATGAGATTTCTACAGCTCCTCTTGTCATTTTGTTCTAGAAGAGAAACACTAAAAACATTTTCTTAAAGAAATGTTTTTAAGGTGACAGTTATTTGTTTCTGGTTTTGGAATTAACTTAAGCATTCCTTCTTCTTAAGGACTGGAACAGAGATTGTGTTACGTGCTGGATGCCGGCAATGCCACTTCCACCTTCAGACTCTGAAGGCCCATTTTACTGATACATTGACTCAAGTGAGGCATAGCCTGGCTGCTCCTAAGCTCATCAGCCAAGATGGAGATAGTTCCTCTGGACTGTCAGAGTTGCTCACATCTCTTGTATTAGCCACTGTTGAGAAAGTCAAAGGTGTTCTACAAGATCTCTTGGTATGTTTCTTTTTATTGGATGTTCTTCATGTGTGCAGTTGAAATAGTGTTGTTAAGCAGCCTAAGAATCATCTGGTTTTTCAATTCACAATTCAGAATCATACTGCCGTATCACATTCAACACTTGTAACGTACAGCATTTGCTGAATAATCGAAAAATGACGGTAAATGTAATTTTCTATTTTCTAGAGTTTCTGCCATCCAGATTTAACATTTGGTTTGAAACCGCTTTTCCGCGAAGTATTCTGTGTAGATAATGTCCGCGAAGATCTGGTGGTTGGCTTTCTGCATTATCTGACAGCAACAGCACGAGGATTCTGTGATTCTGGTGATTCCAAGTCTCCCCCAGCTTTACTGCTTCTACTTTCAAAAATGTGTCTGGAATTTGAGACTTCTAGTGTACACTATTTGGTAAGTTTGATTTGCCTGTTGTAATACATGTAAGGAAGAATACTTATAACTTGCACTGAGGACACTATTTAGATATGAGACACAAGAAGTAGCAAAGGATATGTAGTTTACTTAAGGAAAAACACAAGTGAAGAACTGATGTCACTGTTTCATACAACACAGGAGCATTTTAAGGATGTGGGTTCATAACTCTTGGTAATTTATCATTGTATGTTTGATAACTTATGACAAATATTTAGTTTTAATTTTGCAGTTAAGTCAAACTGATGAGTGGTTTAACATTGACGATCGTCATGGATCTGGAATCCTCACCAGTGATGTAGAAATTTGCACCAGCATGAGAGCTGCAGCACAGGGGTTACTGAACCATTATGTGAGGATGCAGGGACTTGGTGTATCCCAGGTAAGTTAATTTTATTTATAATGGTACATAATCTTAAAATGTTAATAATAGAAAACACACACACACTACATTGTGTGGAGCCTGGCCAGGAACTGACCTTCCTAACTACAGGTTTTGTACGTTTTGTTTCATTTGCAACTTAAAGTTGCAAAAAATGTGCATATTGGCTTTGCCTTGCATGTTTATATATATCTGCCCATCTGTTAGTCTGTCTGCCTGCCTGCTGGTATGTAACAACTTGAGAAGTATGGAATGGATTTATATTAGATTTTGTATTGGGAAGTTGAATTAAATTTTTTTGTCACATTCCAGTCTTAGTTAAAACTGGACAATTGGACAGGCACTTTACATAAAGATCTATATATGCTTCTGTGTGTGGAATTGACTGTGTGAGAAGTCCCCAGACAGGCACATAACTGTATAGGAGAATTTCCTGTGATGAAGATATCACCCAGCCAGATAGGCTTCAGACTTTCTGCCCATGCAAGGGTCATTGATGTAACTGTTGCCATTTGCATAAGATAGAAGTCAGATTCTGGCAACACACCAGAATTGTTATACTCTGCATACATTTCCTAGCTAGTTTCGGTCTCTCCTGCTGATATGAGCCCGGATACATCAGTAGGCAAACTGGATGGTTACAAGATGGATGGCCACCGGGGGCAAGGATTCTTCTCATTGCCACCACTGTGTCTCAGTCTGTCTCTGGAATCCAGCTAGTGTTGTATTGGGTAGGTGGATGAAGATGACTACTTCCATCTGTCCGTCCATCCATAATTGAGGTTAAAAATGCACGTCATTTGACAGCCACGTGAGATGGTGCTAAAGCAATGGCAAAATTTATCTGGAAGTCCCTGAACCTTTGAATTGACTTCACTCGGTTATTTTGGATGCAGAAGTAGGAGAATATGATACAGCCAAAGCATGATAATAAAAAGGGAGGAAAGTTTTTATTATTGAATGACATGATTGTTTTGTAGATGTTGAGGAAATCAGTTGAAACACGTGATTGGTTGCACACAATTGAGCCACGCACAGTGCGGGCTGTCATGAAGCGTGTTGTTGAGGATATTGCTGCTGTTGATAGTCAGGTTGGTGCTTTATATGAGGAGGGACAGCGAGCAGAGAGAAGTTCAGATTCCAGCAGACGAACTCACAGGTATGCATTTGATCTCTTTAGTAAGATAGAAATAAATGGGATTTTGAACTACTGAAGTAAATAATTATCTGATTACTGTATATCACTATGTGATACATGAAGTAGACAAAGCTTTATTAAATAAACCAAAAATTAATCAGTTAATTTTTTTAAGCTTAGAATGTGTTTTGAAGTTGTTAGGTGTGTGCCTCTAAGTGGAAGACAAATACATCATAAGGGTGACATTAAAACATGTTTTATGTGCCCTTTTGATGGTGCACAAGTGACAAGTATTGGTGTTGTATTAGTAATTTTCTTGAAATCAGTGACCATTTTACTAATATTGTATAGGACATAATGTGTGTTTATATTGTAAGGTGAGTGTGTATGAATTTCATTTACTTTAAATTACTATAAAGTACATATTTAAGAGCCTAAATACATTTCTGGACCTATCTAAAACATCACTCTCCTAAGACAAAAATATTAAGTAAAAATTTGTTGTTATACATAAAACACACATTATGTCCTATACAATATCAGTAAAATGGTCAACGGAGAGTGTGTGTGTGTTTGTACATGTATATGTATCCTTATTCAGCAACTTTTCATTCAACAGACTTAGGAACCTGTATTGAAAATAAGGTTCAAAGAGTCTGGAAAATAATTTGTGTATTTTCATAGTAGAAGCAGTTTACTTCATATAATTTTAATACAAGTAAGCAAGCCAACTAGTTAGCACAAACTGAATGTAATCATTTTTTTGCCATATATAAGTTAACAACTGCTGCAAAGGCTAATGCATAATATACTGAGATATGTGTTTTGCAAATTAATTTTTTACAGTCATTGACTATATGCATGAATTATGAATTCTGTCTTTTGTTTTCCATGTTGATGCAAATGAAGTGCCAGTGTGTCCCGTCATATATATCGTTCCAACTGGTCATCTTATGCTCCCAGCCAACTGGACTCCAGCCTGGTGACAAATATCCAAAAGCTGTTTTCTGAACGCATTGAGATTTTTTCATCAGTTGAGTTCTCTAAAGTTTCCATCCTCACTGGCATCATCAAGATCAGTCTTAAGGTACTTTATGATTACTCTTAAATCTGGGTTAGTCAGAGTAGCTGGGGATAGTGTGATCAGGCTTTGATCCCTAGTAGGAACAAGAATTTTTCTTTGCTTTTTCATTTAGACCAACTCTTGGGCTAACTCACCCTCTTTACCAGTGGATTATTGCGTGTATGGCCTTACATATCTGCACAGTTTTCCAATTTCATTGACCTGATGTACCTTTTCTCCATTCTTAGATATAAACTATCTACCTGTGATAGTAGAACATAGAACCTGAAGTTTGTATACATTTGTGCCAATATAAAATGATTGGTTTTTTCCTTTACTGTTCTAAATGTTTGTTGGCACTGATTTCAGAAAGAAATGCAAAATCAGACATTAACATGATAAAATGTATTAGCAGAAAATGATAATGCATCTTTTGAAGAAACATTTAAAGCTGCCAAATTGTTTAAAAATAGGCGGTTACAGTAATTCCATATCACGATCTAGACTATGTGATAAGTACAGACCAAATGGGATGCAAATACCATATAAACATCAGGCAAGTATTATCACACGATGAGAAAAAAATAACAATTTCTAGTATGACACACAGACAAAATTATGCATTCTTATACTGTGATGTATGCTGTTACAGCATCAGATATACTGCTGCCTACATTGTTTATCTATCTGCTTGAAAAATGAAGTGCATTTGGTCTTCACACTTCTGATATAGTTAAAATATTTTCATAGAAATTTTGAAATGTTTTCATTAGCTACTGTAAAGTCATAAAAGTAACAAACAGAGACATATAAATGATTTTTGGACAGTCTAATGGAGCTGAATGTGAAGAAAAATGAGTTGCATTTAAGAAGATTTCTGTCTTCTGGGTTGTTGCGCTGTGTAGTCTGGTCGATGTTAACCAACGTTTCAGAGGACATACTGCCTCCGTCATCGCCCTGAGCAAGGTTGAGAATTACCCAGTTCTCATAGCTGCTAATTACACACAATCTAGTGGGGAAGATTGTATAAAAATGTATGCTGTTATACATTGCCAACTATTAGCCTGTTACAAAAGTATGCATGGTATGTTGCTAAAAAAACATTTATGAGTTCAAAAGTTAGACTGAATAAGTCATAAAGTACAAAACATAAATAAGTACAATTTAAAATATTAATTTGAGAAAAATTAGGGGTTTAGTATGTAAATATTATAATGTAACAAGAAATCCTCTGCTATACAGCAGACTAAGAATTACAGTAGCGCCTAAAAGGATTATGAGTACTCTTTAGACTACAAATGTTCATCAACAGAATAAAAAGGTACGTGTGTGTATATGGGTATCTTTTCAGTGCTATTTTAAATGTATCCTTTTTATCTGAAATAGTTTAAGACAGTGGTAGACTGTTGAAGATTTTGATGCCAGCTTCTGCAACTCTGATATGAAATATATTCATAACCAAAGAACAGTTTATTGGTCTAGTCTTTGGTACCAAGAGTGTCTGTGGTAGACAAGTCAAACATTGGAGACAAACATTGTATGTTCAGGTACTATATATAGTGTCTCATCATTCTTGTACCAGCTGTGCCAGATGTTTTAATTGTGTAGATAAATACAAGGAGTTGTTAGAGGCTTTGTCTGTCCCAGCATACACTCACTTCCCCTGATGAAGTACAGTCAAGTTAAAATTTTAATCTTCCACTGTTGCAAGTGTCTGTCCACCCATTATGCCAGTTATAGAATCTCCAGGTAAAATTATATGTGTGCGTTCCTGCTTAATATTTTCAGGGTCCTTGGTTTAATTCGTAACTCAGAACCGACTTTTTTAATGATTTTCCTAAGTTCCTTGAAGTAAATGCTGAGATAGTGTCATAAAATAGGCTACAACAGCTTCCTTCAATGTAATTTATAATTCTTCACTTGCAATCAGTCTGATTTAAGATTGCTGCCCGTTAATTTGAGAAAGTATAATTAAACTAAGAAACAATTAATTCAGCTAAAGAAAGGTCTTGTGGCCTGAAGTACATCATGTTACATTAACAAAAATGTTATAAGGAATAAATGTTCTACTTTTATTCAAAATTATTGATGATTTAATGTCAGTGTTTCAGTTGCAGAGTTTTTATAATGCTAAATGAACTATGAAAATAATAATCACTGATCAATAAAGATTGGGAAGGAGGCAGTAATGGCCTATTTCAGAATGCTTTCTTTTAATTTGCCTGGACAGACCGAGGGAACCTATGAAAATCTTCAGTCAGAATAGTTCACAACTGGGCCAGTGTTCAAAATGAGTACCTTCTGAACACAAATCTACATCATCACCACTACATCTGTGTGCTTGATATAGGGATAAACTTAAGTGTAGCTGCTGAATAAAAGATAGTAAAGATGTAAATTGGATTGACTTTCAGTAGGATTAAATGACAGCTTTTGTCATGGAGGTAATGAATCATCAGAATCCACCACACAGGTTGATGTAACATTAACAGTTTTGGTTTGTTTTTGGGAGGAACCCAGCCCAAATCACAGCCGCATAACCAACAATCCTGACAGATTTTCATGGTCTTCGGTGTCTGTAGGTTAGTACTGGCATTCAGCACTATGTAACTTTTGCAGTGGAAACAGTACAGTAAATCACGTAACGATTGTTAAGTAACACGAGAATCGATCACTCAAAAAGAAGAAATGTTTTTATCAGCTCGAAGATCATGTACTATGCCATTACGTTGTTATTGGAAGATGGACATCATAGTGATCTTATTTTGCTTATTTGTGCAGACTTTTCTTGAGTGTGTTCGATTACGTACATTCAGCCGGTACGGTCTGCAGCAAATTCAAGTTGACACCCATTATTTGCAGCTGTATCTGTGGAGATTTGTTGCTGATGAAAAGTAAGTATGTTTGTAAATAATCACAAACTGTGTTTATATTTCAAGATTTACATTTGTTCTAGAATAATATTAACTATCTTTATACAGTAACAGAAATGTATGTAACAGTTTGTAACACATTTATTTTCCACATGTGTTCTTTGTGACCTGGCATTCTTGTGTGTTCAGTGTGTTATTAATTGCAGATACAGATATGCTTCAGTTAAACAAGAGCAGAGGAATGTATTATTTTGCTTGTATTTCGTTAAATATTCACCATATAAGAATGCTTCAAATATAAATTGAGGATCTTAATCAGATATAATTTTATCTCATGTACTAGCTCTTGGTGTCATTTTTCTGAAGAACTTAACTTTTGATGTAGATACACCTGTACAAAATTTAATCAAGATCTGTTGAATAGCTTCAATGGTGAAGTGTGTGGATGGACAGACATATGACTTCTCATTCACAATTAATTTAATGTACTTGTGAAAAAATGTGTAAAAAGCAACTAGTCAGTCAGTTGTTACATTGGATCCTGCAGTTTTGTGTATTGTGTATTCTTACAGTCTGGTTCACTTTCTACTGGATGAAATCCTTGGCAGTGCTGTACATCGGTGTTTAGATCCAGTACTGATGGAACCCAGTGTTGTTGAGATCATCTGTGAGCGAGGCTGAGGATTTTACTCTCATCAAAAGCAAGATGGGTTCACATTTGTTTTCAAGGTCCTTGAAATGTGTTAAAATAATCAGATCCATCATTTAACTTAAAGCATTTGATGTACAGAAATGTTTAGCTGTCTTGCACTGTTGAGGATTTAATCCCCTTCCAACCCCGCTGAGACAGACTGGAATGTAATTATCCATCATTTCACAAAAATATATGCTGTTGTTACTTAAATTATTTCACGTTAAGACAACTTGAGACCACTGGCCCATGTTTTTCAGTTTACTGAAGCATGAAAAAGTGGTTAAATACTTGTCACTGTAAGACAAGAAAATATTACAAATGCATTAATTTTTTTGCAGAAAATCTTGGTTTACATGGGAGAATTTTCTAGCATTATGAGCAAAAGAGAGGTGCAGTTGTCTTTGTTCCATGGTTTTGTATGTAAGAGTGCATGTTTAGATCCAGACATTTTTAAACTTATCCCTGGGAAATGAGCTCATGGTATCCACTGTATAGAAAGTTGTGGGGGCCCCAGAGCAGTTGTGAATGTGATGGTGAAAATAAGAAATTGGGGCCCTTTTGAGAATCGTTGCCCAGTTGTCTGGACTTATAGACAGTCACTCGACTGACTTTGCTTACCCAGCTTGTGTTGAAAGCAAATGGGTCCTCATATTTGGATTAACCTGTGGACCTATCACAGATATATCAAAGATGTGATGTTTTATGTTGTTTATTTGTAAAGAGACCTGTTCAACATCTGGCTCAAGAAGATCTGAAATAACCCAGCCCAAATCACAGCCGCATAACCAACAATCCTGACAGATTTTCATGGTCTTCGGTGTCTGTAGGTTAGTACTGGCATTCAGCACTATGTAACTTTTGCAGTGGAAACAGTACAGTAAATCACGTAACGATTGTTAAGTAACACGAGAATCGATCACTCAAAAAGAAGAAATGTTTTTATCAGCTCGAAGATCATGTACTATGCCATTACGTTGTTATTGGAAGATGGACATCATAGTGATCTTATTTTGCTTATTTGTGCAGACTTTTCTTGAGTGTGTTCGATTACGTACATTCAGCCGGTACGGTCTGCAGCAAATTCAAGTTGACACCCATTATTTGCAGCTGTATCTGTGGAGATTTGTTGCTGATGAAAAGTAAGTATGTTTGTAAATAATCACAAACTGTGTTTATATTTCAAGATTTACATTTGTTCTAGAATAATATTAACTATCTTTATACAGTAACAGAAATGTATGTAACAGTTTGTAACACATTTATTTTCCACATGTGTTCTTTGTGACCTGGCATTCTTGTGTGTTCAGTGTGTTATTAATTGCAGATACAGATATGCTTCAGTTAAACAAGAGCAGAGGAATGTATTATTTTGCTTGTATTTCGTTAAATATTCACCATATAAGAATGCTTCAAATATAAATTGAGGATCTTAATCAGATATAATTTTATCTCATGTACTAGCTCTTGGTGTCATTTTTCTGAAGAACTTAACTTTTGATGTAGATACACCTGTACAAAATTTAATCAAGATCTGTTGAATAGCTTCAATGGTGAAGTGTGTGGATGGACAGACATATGACTTCTCATTCACAATTAATTTAATGTACTTGTGAAAAAATGTGTAAAAAGCAACTAGTCAGTCAGTTGTTACATTGGATCCTGCAGTTTTGTGTATTGTGTATTCTTACAGTCTGGTTCACTTTCTACTGGATGAAATCCTTGGCAGTGCTGTACATCGGTGTTTAGATCCAGTACTGATGGAACCCAGTGTTGTTGAGATCATCTGTGAGCGAGGCTGAGGATTTTACTCTCATCAAAAGCAAGATGGGTTCACATTTGTTTTCAAGGTCCTTGAAATGTGTTAAAATAATCAGATCCATCATTTAACTTAAAGCATTTGATGTACAGAAATGTTTAGCTGTCTTGCACTGTTGAGGATTTAATCCCCTTCCAACCCCGCTGAGACAGACTGGAATGTAATTATCCATCATTTCACAAAAATATATGCTGTTGTTACTTAAATTATTTCACGTTAAGACAACTTGAGACCACTGGCCCATGTTTTTCAGTTTACTGAAGCATGAAAAAGTGGTTAAATACTTGTCACTGTAAGACAAGAAAATATTACAAATGCATTAATTTTTTTGCAGAAAATCTTGGTTTACATGGGAGAATTTTCTAGCATTATGAGCAAAAGAGAGGTGCAGTTGTCTTTGTTCCATGGTTTTGTATGTAAGAGTGCATGTTTAGATCCAGACATTTTTAAACTTATCCCTGGGAAATGAGCTCATGGTATCCACTGTATAGAAAGTTGTGGGGGCCCCAGAGCAGTTGTGAATGTGATGGTGAAAATAAGAAATTGGGGCCCTTTTGAGAATCGTTGCCCAGTTGTCTGGACTTATAGACAGTCACTCGACTGACTTTGCTTACCCAGCTTGTGTTGAAAGCAAATGGGTCCTCATATTTGGATTAACCTGTGGACCTATCACAGATATATCAAAGATGTGATGTTTTATGTTGTTTATTTGTAAAGAGACCTGTTCAACATCTGGCTCAAGAAGATCTGAAATATGTTGTCTTAGATGTAAATTTTTTTTTTAAATGTAATTTATTATCATTATATCCCGTACTTTTCACTTAATTAGATTATTTGTATTTCAACATCAGTTATTTTTGTAATTTTTAATAACAAAATTAATCTTTTTGTTTTATAATAAAAATTGCTGGTGTGATGCACCATTGCACACCTTCAGAAAAAGAGCCATAATGATGGGTGTGTTGTCTGTTTGTGTGGCGTATTGCACCTGCCAGCATGCAGTGAGGTACAGTAACTGATATCTTGCCTGTTCCATCCAGCTTTGTTTGTGATGTGGGGCAGAGGTAACACCTGTGGATACAAGAGGATAGCAAAGGATGGCAGTTAGTGGGTGGGTACAGAGGGGGGAACTGGTATGAAAAAATGCAGGTGTCTTTTCATTCCCTGTCAAATAGGTGGAAGTGTGCCACACTCCAGCTCAGGTCTCCAACAGGTAAGTTTTAATTTTAATTAATTATTTTGTGAAACAATTATTATCTAATTTTACATATATTTCTCTTTTATTGATATGAGTGCATGTGTTTAGTGTGATGACATCTTAAACAAGAAAAACATTTAAGCATATGAGGATACCAGTCAGTGTACTTACCAACTTCTTAGGGCAGAGTTTTTCTTGAGAAGCTGATAGTCACTCAGCTAGTCAATATATCCCATGTTTTTGGAACTCAAAAGTTTTATTAAGGTATTCCTGAGAACCTCTCCTTGTAGTGAATCTGGTCCACAGCATATTTCCTTAAGAGCCAACTTAATAATATCCTGCTGTGTGAACACGTGCTTCCTTTCTGGTTCTGTATCTGAATTTTGTATATATTTCTAAGATGATACTGACTTTCTTTCAAATGCCTTCTGTCCTCTATTTTATTAAAGAAAACTTAACGGTAGTAAAAGATGTCAATAATTATTTTAAACATCAGTAGCATAATAATATATATCAGTTCCATCTGTTTTGATATTCAGTACTTTTATATTTCATAAATGGGATTTCTTTATGTATTGATTTTTGTCAAGGAGATGTAGAATGTCTTTGAGATATGAACATAATTTTAATATTCAGATCATGGGTTTTTTAGCCTTTATAATTGGCCAACTTTAAAAAAAGTACACTCATGATAGAAATGTACATGTGTATTTAAACGTAGTTCTTATAAGAACATCAGTTGCTGCTTCATTATCCTACTTCCACTACATTTTAGTCTGAAATGTAGGCTTCGTAACAAGCAAAATCCCAATATAATCCAGTTACAACATATTATTCTATGACAAATTTAATATTCTATCATATATACATTGGTTTCCCAGATTACTTATTTTAATCTTACTTTACACCCAAAATTTTATAACCATTTTGAGATTGTCATGTATTTACATTTTTAAGCATCTAGTGGCTAATGTTATGAAAACAACATGACACACTAGATATGATGAATACATAACCTATCTTTCCTAAAAGTAATTAGCTTAAGTCATTGGACGTAAAAATCATTTATGCATGGTAATGAGCTTGTTCGTGGTATTTTCTTGAATAAGGAATCCTTTCATCAGACTGGTGGAATCAAAAGATGTGATGGTACAGAATTACTGGAGTTTGATTGACAATGCAAGCAAAAATCCAATATAAAATCTGAAATTTTTGTGATCACTATGTTTTTTCACATGATAAACCACATCTATAAAAATCAAAACCAAAATGTAAGTTTATTTATTTTTTTAATAAGACATCACCTGAGAGACTTCATTCCATAATACAGTATCCTATCAATAATGTAAAGTGTCTCCTATGCTGAAGCACCATGTCATGAAGGCAGCTACAGTATAAAGTTGTAAAACTGTTCTCATATCTCAGGAGATGAATGGCCAATTTTATGCAGTGGCTACTAAACCCTATTGAAAGTGCCCCGGGTACCCATTGAGCAGGAGACTGGGTAGATTCCATAGATGGTTTGGCCACGATAACGAAAAGAAAAATTCCCATCCGTTCAGGAATCGAATCCGAGACGCCTGGCTTTTATTTTTGTTTCGGTTTTTCACCAAGAAAAAATTTCAGGGTCTGCCATGTGATAATTGTCGATTCAGTGATGGAAGGCCTTCCCGAGCAAAAATCTGAAACGAGTTCAGTTGTTACGCTGTGGGGGGGGGGGGGGGGGTTAACGTTCTATGCACTTCCATACACTGACGAGTTCCATGTCCACCAATTAGGACTACTTAAAACTCTCCTGTTCACATACTCACTTCTAGCATTGCGTCACTTCCGGTTCAATTCATCCGAAGTATCGTCGCCTACATTCTATCCCTAGTAAGATAAACTTTGGAACCCAACATTGTCAAGTTCCACATGTGTTGTCTTTTGTTGGGAGTTCTCAATTTTCTACTTCATAACTGTCAATAATTCCAAGTCCTGGTCGTTCAGTTATTTCCTTCTGTCGCTTTATAGATTCCAGGTGTTCCAAGTGGTGTCCAGTGAATTAGTTGTATTTGGTAACTCTGACTACCCGTTTCGATTCCTTCTTTGCACCAACAGCGTATAATGATCACATAATGGGGAGAAAATTCTTAATCTCTGACATAGATTAACGTAATGTGGGGAAAGTAGGACTACACGAGTAAGAATATGCATTGAGGGTTTTGTATGTAAACATCGTGGCAGTTGGCAATATTGAGACTGATCCGAGTGATAGTTCCTGTAACTCCTAAGTGGAGCATAGTATTTTGAAGTGCATCCTTGAAAGACAGTCTCGATAAATGGGGTAAGATGTAATTTTTAGCATTTTGATGTACTGTTTTGTAAATGTGACATGAAGTTTGTAAACCTATTACAGGATTTAGAAACTGATTTTTAAAAGTGTATTACCCTACCGCAGTCAGTAAGCAAAATTGCTTGTTGTTGACAGCAAATCTTAAAGTACAGTATTGCAGTGCAGGGCAAGAGTTCGTACAATAGAACGGGACGAACGTTCGCGGGCTTTTAACTAATATAGCAGATCAGCTTCAAGCGACAACCCAACCTCCGCCGAAAATGAACCACAGAATTCCCCTTTATTGTCCCATTCCATGAGAGAACGGGAGAATAAAGAAGAATAACGGAAAAATAATTTGAAATCTTAACAAGTTCTCCTTTCAAATACGACCTACATGCAAGTCTAAAATAAAACAGGGGAAGCAGGAAACTACTGGCGTAACCCGCACTAAAAAATCAACATTAGACAATGTCATCAAAACTATTATTGCAGCAAATATTTTATTCTACTCGAGTACATTTGCCCCATTATGATAGCACCATTGCCACACATATGGGATAAAATATCTCATTTGTCACTTCTGAACTGAGTGACATTTTTATTATTTTTCGATCAAAAATCATTAATATTGGTCCAGTACTTTATCTTCCAAGCCCATATGAACAGTAAATGTGCATTTTTGCCCCACTTTATTATAATGAACGAATTTCGATTAAATTTATTTTGAGGTTAGGAAAGGACTAAACTAAACGTTGTCGAGCGAATGTAAATCCATTCCATATCAGTATAATATAACTTGAAGATCACATCAACATGACTGTGAGAGTAAGAAGCGCTTTCGGCAGAAGGAATTGCCTGTAAATGTAATGACATGAAACTAGTTCACTTTTAGGTTATTCGTGGAACTAAATCTTTCCATAAAACCGAACAACTAACTTATGATTACTATTAAATATTCCATTATAAACTAATAAACATTATTAAATTGACGTATAGATATTCACTGCTAGTCAATACGTATTCAATTTGGTGGGAAGTTAGAACAATGTACTGAATGAATAAGCAGTATATTTTAACACTTCATTGTTCACTATTATTACACACACTAAAATATAATGTACACTCTAGAACGTGAAGATGGCTGTCTTCTGTGTCGGTGAACCGTGTAGTCTGGTATAAGTTTACCGACGTTTCAAAGTTCCTTGCTGCCTCCATCATCAGGGCGATGAGTAATTAATTAATCCACTATCATATAATCAAAAATTGTTTTATCTGTTCTCGGGCCATTTCATGCCTATGGGTACACAGACAAAGCTATTTTAACAGACTATCCGTGGAGTTGCGAAAGCCTAAAATTGCTCATCATACAAGAAAATTTGTTCATAACAAAAAGTTGTCAGTGGAACCACGGTTCCGGAGAATTTGACGTAAATACGTCTTTACGGAAAGGAAGTTTATATATTGGCTTTATTCTAAATATTTACTTTATACATGCTTTACAATTGAGATAAGTTTGATTAAAACATTGCTTAATCAACTTGAATTAGTTACGCTTGAAATGGGTCTGTGGTAGCTGAATGTAATGTAATGAAATGTTTTATAGGTAACAACAATGCCGAGTAAACAGATGAGGTTTCCTAGGTAACATAACAATGAAGTTACACTTTTTCGTTTCCCTTTTTCGTAACACATTTTTACCGAATGACCCTTCCTTATAGACGTATTTACGTCAAAAACATAGATCTAATCAATATGAACAATCTTTATAAGAAATATGTTTAATATTGTGACACTGGAGAAAATTTCGGTAATTAAATTCATTTTTCTATCCGTAATTAGCTTTTGTTTCTAACGATAGACGTATATGTTACTGCAGGTTATATTAAGACTTCTTAACTTTCATTTATGCATATGGTTTTAGCGTTAAGATACACACGAATAAATAGATTTTTATCAACAGTAGTTAAACATCATGCACATAGGTAAAGAAAGTATTCGGACGTAGCTATCTGTACTCCATATTTCCACTCTTGGGGTCTTTTATTTTCAAAACGTAGTCGCCCTACACTGCCAGTATCCCACAAGAGGTCGTCATACCAAACGAGTCTGAAGCAAGGGTTATGGATGCAAATTGCTTAATTATACATAATAACTGACACGAACGTCCACAGTCTGTCTGCATTCACGATTAGTAACTGCAGAGGTCGTCTGGGACATGTGTCACACGAGGAGAACATAATTGAAAACGAAATCTTTATCGAAAATTGTCAAAGAAAGAGACCTCTTAGAAGATCTAGGTTTAGATGGGAATGTTTAAACCGATCATATATGAACAATGTGTCAAGGAATTTGCTGCATTTAACTGGCTGGGGACGGAATCGAATGGTGAGAAATTGTAAATACGATAATGAGTTTTCAGGCTTCATAAATGCGGGAAAATTCTTGACCAGCTGAGTAATTACAAACTTTACTAGAAAGATCCAGCATCTTGGAGACAGAAGCCAGCTGCACGGTCTCTCGCTTAGACTTAAAGCTGAAGCTACTTTACATCGTAAAGGGCGTATAAATGGAGGAATAAATAACAAAGTGCGATATTATTAATGAAAGGAGCAGGAGATGTTTTTACGTCTTTTCAAGAATAATGTTTTCCTATTTTATTCTTTTTTCCCTTATATTTGTAGTCTGGAGCCGGGGTAGCTGTCAGAAAAGTGACTAGCTACGGACTAGACGACCGGGGTTCGATCCCCAACGAGGGCGGAGGAGTTTTCCTCTAGTCTCTGTGTCCATACAAGCTCTGGGCCCTCCCAGCCTGCCATCAAATGGGTAACGGGGTCCTTTCCCGAGGTTGGGAGTAAATGTATAGCTCCACGCATTCTTAACCTCAGCACTAGATTGAGTTGAGTGATATCACTCGGGAGAAGATTCCCCGGTCTCTGGACAGAAAAATCTGTGGTCCTTCTGAGAATTGAACCCTAAACCTCTTGAGTTTTGTAATTTACAGAAAGAATTTTTCTTTTTTTCAGCCAACGAAGAAGATAGCGGGCTGATGATAAACTATGTCAAGAAGGGATTTCGGTTTGTGACCGTTCTAATGGGCATCTCATTCAAGATTACAACATAATGCTCGTTATAACGTTCACGGTTCGAACACCTTTGCATATCATCAAACAGCATCCACACAGCAGACACCATATGGAATCCCAATATACATTAATCCTCTGGTTTATTCTACAGTCAGATCTACTTTAAAGGCATTTATGGTTTAATTCTTTGGAATACTAATTCCACATATGCAGGCTATAATATTATACTTAAGCTCATTAATATTGTCAACAAGCTGCCAAGGATTCCGTCCCTTCTTTGAGTAGCTCATCCCACGTTTACTAACCGTCTTTTCAATAGTCGACATTTGTTCCTGGTTGCCGTCTGTTTGTGGGATATTTCATTACCCTAGACAATGTCTTTCTGCACTTTGTCAATATGGCAGACTAAATTCTTTTTGCAGTCCAGATATTTTGTTGATGCTGATTTGGTCTTTACTTTAGCCATTTTGAAGTCTTCCCACTTACAGTTAGCACTATTTATTATTATTATTATTATTATTATTATTATTATTATTACTATCGATCACAGTTTTATCTAGAGGATCTTATATTTTACAACCAAATTACATGATTTATGCACATACAGAAGAATAAACACGTATTACAGGGGATTATTTGTAGTCTTTCTTATATTATGACGTATATTTAAAAATGTATTCTTCTGAAGCTCGCATTTGTTGTGTTATTAGCAACTGTAACAGAGCAATTACGTCAATAGTAGCTCGCTTCTTGAGGGAACGTGTTACAACTTTTGTTCATTCAGTTTCCAGGATACAAACATATTCTTTGTGGAATATAACTAGGTTTCTTAATAATTGAAAATGATTTCACTGATCGCTGTATTTAAGGTAAACGCAGTGGTTCCACCACACCAATCCTGCACAAAATTTGATGTCAACCAACGAACCAATAGTAATACTGCAAAGACGAAAGTATTATTACCGTATACTATTACTTTGTGTTCTTTCAATAACTCGTATTCTTTCCCAAGAAAGATAAAGAACAGGAGAATTAATAAAATTCCATAGTCAGGAGCTTCAAAAGTTTGTCTTCTTCCAGAAAGGTGATAAACTCCAATTGGGACTACGTATAAAGCATTTGTTATTGTCAATCTTAATGCACTAAAATTATTCACCAAATGGAAATGTTAGTACAACTCTCTAACACAAAATTTTATCGAAATCCTTTAATCACGACTTCCTAAGATTAGACATGACCAAGGACATCATTAATTATTACACATTTATTTTATGTTCAAGAGATGCATAAAACGTGTATTTAAATAAACATAGACTTGCTTTTAAGGCTTTACTCTATCCAAATTTGCTCAAAGACGACATCAGGATTAAAATAAATAATCTGAAATTTGGAAGTTGCTGCTTAAATATTCTGAATAATTATTAAACTACGCCGTGGTGGAGATTCTTTCTCAGAAAACTTGTGGTTATATTAATTCTCGTATTTATAAAACACAAAAATTAATTACAGTGTTCACAATAGCTCTGCATGAAATTCCAGAGTCAATTGGTTAGCTCTCCTGCCTCCTGTTCGAGAACTCATTCAAATCTTAACGCGGAGACGGGCTATCCTGGTAGATTTTTCGTGTTTATACTCAGTTTCTTCAGGAAGAAGCGGGATATTGCCATAAATTAGCCACCACTGCTGCCTTGCTAATGCTTTCTAATTATTTCGACGCTTTTTAATCTGAACAATTTAAAGCCTCGATAAATAAATCAAGAAGAAATAAAATAAAAATTTGGCAGCAGAATCTATCCTGATCCAGTTCAGTCCACATCTCCAATCCTTATTTCTCAAATATACGCTTTAGTCAGATCTACGGATTGTCTGTACTTCTCTGTTACTTTCTTGTATTCATTTCTTGTTTCTTCCTTTGTACGGAAACATCTTAGGCTTCATATTAAATATACCTCAGACAGAGGGCAAGGCCCAACATATTTGTCGTGTAATTAGTCGACCACAGTTAGAAACCTTTCGAAACTCATGTAATAATAACATTAACTTCGGACTTAGTTCTATATTCTACAAGAAACTGGAATCTGGACCCGTGTTAAGTCGGACAATTGTATGTAGCAAATGAATCACTGTCTCGGGATTATCTTGTTTGTGAAAGTAAGTAAACTCTCTTCGGAAGCAGGGATGGTTGACGGAGGTTTCAGATACAAGGGACTATTTTCGCTGAACATTTCAGTGCGCCTGTGAACTTCACTTGGATACGTACACTTTGCTGTCTCCGTGTCCTAAGTAGTAGTGCCGTAGTCAAGGTGCTGACTGAAATCTCTGCCTGCGCACGGCTACTTAATACACTGAGACTGAAATATTCTTCAGCAGCGAGCTAGAACAAGGCAAAACTACATTTTTGGTGACACTGAAATTTCCCAGGTGAGACAACTGTTAATGTAGATTGGAAACATCGGGTCAGTAAGTGTGGTTAAATTATGACAAAATCCAACTAAACCAACTATATTAAAAATGTTAACAAACAGAAAACAAAATAAGTAAAGTTATTAATGTCTAATAAAATAATTATCCAAATAACTAAACAGATGGAGAAGAATCCGTCTTGATAACACCATAGTAACTTTTCTGGTTCAGAAAGTTCCCGCTTTTATGAAACTGGAAGATTCATTACCGTGTTCACAAGATCCTGCCATCACACATCTACACCTATTTTCCCCACTGAATCTGCAAAAGTCCAATTTCGTCCCAACCGTTAAGCTGAAGGACCACTTCTTGTTGCCTTATCATCCAATGATTACACAACATTCGCCCAATAATTAAGAAAGGTTCAGTTGATTAACTTTATTGTACAGAGCCTTACTCTATTAAATTATACTAGGAACGATAAATTATTTCTACGCAGGGGTCGGATGGCGTTATTTTGAGTGACCGCGGGCCGGAGAGCTTAAAGATAGAATTTATGTACCTAAAACTTGTTAAATTGTGAATAAAGTTATTAAATTTTAGCTCATACTTCATGTTAGATGTTATTACTACTATCACGTAGTGGTCTTTAGAGCGTCACTTCTGATGCGACAGGATGTGACGTACGAAGATCAGGTTTACTTCAAGCCAGTGCAGACTTAATAACATAAGCCTACCTCTTACATCTCTAGGCCATGAACACATTTACTAGGCCTATTATTATTGTTGTTTTTGTTGCAATTTTTGAAATAAGTGCTAAATGAACAAAACATTTGCACACATTCTATATCGTTTTGTTTTCAGCTGGATATCGTAACATATTTCTTAGGGGCAAATTTCTCAAGTCACTATTTTAAGTTAGCTAAATGAGTTAGGAAAGTTTTTCCTTGTTCCCGCGAGTGTGGAAGGGTGACCGGCTGACGCAACACTGGTAGCCCGCATCGCCACAATTGCATGCCTAACAAAGTAACGGTTGAAGCTTTCCGGGGGCTTATCTTGAAGAATTAGATTGTCATACATCGCTCACTCCAATGTGACTCATGTGGGTCTTTTATTGATGACACAATAGGACGATTTAAAACTAATTTTCTGATCTATAAATGGCACTAAATTATAGCGTCTGGATGTAATGAGTGAAACCATTGCTCTATTTTCAGACGGATCCCGGTCCAAATCTCGGCAGGGCTTCTAGATATACTTATAGTTGTTTTTCATGGTTTTACTAAGGTGCATCAGATAAATACTGGGATAGTATCGTGCGCTTTATAAAAGTTTTATTGGTATTTAACGCCATTTAATCTACATACTTGATAAACAACAATTCTAGTACAAAGAATGTTCTTTACATTCATTGCGTTTGCCTGTAGTGACCAACAACGTGGAAGTCGATTTAGATAAAGACGGCTTAGCAACTTTTAGTTCACATAGTTTCATAAGCAGTCTCAAGTAGTTTTAACGTTTGTTATTTGCAGACAGACGGATAGACAAACTAAGAGTAGCTTTAAAAAACTATCTTTCAAATCCATCTAATAAGGCCAAAACTCACGTTTTATTTGAAACATGTGTTCGATTTTGTTTGTCTGTGCACAGCTTCTCCTTGAAAAGCTGATAGTTGATTAACTAGTCTGGAGAATCGCTGATGTTATTGCGTCATTAGGTTAATCACCGTCAGTACAAAGCCTGTTCTAATCGCCTCAACAAACTCCTTTAAATATAAAACTTCAATATTTGTCTCGAGAGTTGTTTCTTCCCGTGATATCCAGAAGTCCCTAAGAAGGTACACGATGGCCTATTTCATGGTCTGAGACGCGAGGGCTCATATTCCCTTTATTTACGAGAGTTCTTTTACGAGAAATTAACTGAGTCGAAAGTCGCGTCATGCACGTTCGGATGTTTCCTAAAACTCGTCAAAGTAATCGGTACACCTTGATGTGATGGAGTGGATTATCATTATTCCTTTCTTCTCCACTTTTTATGCTAATAACTGAACAAGTACCCTTCACGGAGACTTAGTTCAGACTAAATTAGTCGGCTACCTCCGGCTATACTCGTTTTCCTTCGGACGACTTTGCAATCGTTTCAAAATACCCCCATAAAAAGAATTGAGGAAATAGGAACTTGAAAATGTCCTTCTTCTGGTAGAAATTTACCAACGTTTCTGAGGGTACTTGCTGGTAAACTTTCACCAGGCTACACGGCGTCTCAACCCTGAAGACATCCATCATCATATTCACAAATACTACAAATAGGAATTTGTCTTGTTGGATCTATCGGTTCAAATTCCGTTCAGGGCATTGATATTTGTCTGCTGTTTTCCGTGCTAGCTCATTCTGATTGAATCTTTTTTTTAAAAAAACATCCAAGCTTGTATATATAAGGCATCCAGAAATATTTATAGCAAAGAAAGCCATGACGCAAATATAGCTGTGTCGCCACGAAACATAAGTAGAAGGAGACCGAGTTACCTTGGACTAGCTCGTCTTACATGATTAGTTATTACTATGGTTACTGCAGGTGCGCACTAAAACAAATGTATTTCTAAAGACAGATAAAGGCAGAGACGACAAACCACTGGCTTGTGTACCAGAGGTGACATGTAAACACATTTTGTTGGCACGTATATGAAAGTTAAAACGAAGCTAAGAAATTTCTTCCTATAAAAATGTGATATGTAAACTGTAAAATTTATCATTTAACAATTGTTATTTTTTAATTTCTAATATCAGTTAAATAGATTGATAAATTTATTTGGTACATTCGTTTTACTAAATACTTAAGTTATGTTAAGTTTTATTTAATAAATATGCTTTGTTTTGTTTGTATATAGGAATCATAATTATGGTAACTTAGGTGAATCTTGATAAAATTCCACAAATAATTATAATTAACAAGGGAAAAGATGAAACATTTTTCTGCTAAGATTGTTTAACTTCATTATTTACAGAAGAAGTAGTTATCCCTAGGACGCGAAATCTCGTTCATAACACAGAAAGAGTTAAACTTTTCTTCTCCTTTAGCACTCCGTATGGGAGAGATTTACCTTGGCTGCAGTCAGAATTATGCAGCGATTCGAGACACGTCGCACGAAGACTTCCTCAGCATAAAAAAAAGCTTTACGTATGCAATTTACATAATTTGTCAATATAAATCGGAAGGACCCAGGTTCGATTCTAGACCCGGAGAACGGTTGTTTTGATGTTTTTGTTTGATTTCTCGGTCTTCTCACGCAAATGTTCCTTCTACGCTCTTCAGTTCGAGGAAATTTCCAAACGCAGTTGAGGAAGTATCTTTAAATGGAGAAACGAACACACTAATAACTTATTTACTGACTTACTCGTACTAACCTACTAGCTGAGTAACTGAACGGAAAAAAAAATGAAAAGGGGAAGGTGTAAGAGAGAGACAGACAGAATTACTTGCCGTCGACTCTGTCTAGAATCGATCTGCAGACCCGTAAAACTGTCTTCACAGCGTTTGTTTCTGTGCATTGTATTCGCTCTCATGCATGTCTATTCTCAGCTAAAACTCTCGTCAACAGTTAAGAGAGAAAGAATCAGGCTGATTTTTCTCTCCCCAATTCATTGCCATTCAAAGCCATACCACCTCATGACGTCACAAATTAAAGCCCACAAAGAAAATAAAACAACATAACCACTAATAATTCGACCTTTCAGTGCCCTCCTTCCCCGTCCGCGTCTAATTTAGGTCATCAGATTTGTCACTTCCTGTTTAAGAGCCTCTATCTTGATGGCGGATGACTATCATCTGTTCGATGGTGGGGTTTAACAGAGAGTGGCAGAATTAATACGGTAAGGCATTGGCCTTCCGTGCAGAAGGTCTTGGGTTCAAGACCGAACGGATCTAATACAGATTTTTCAGCATATTATCCTTTACCTCACTCCTGACAGTCCAAACGTTGTGAATATAGGAAGCATCATGCCCCATCCTAATTATAATTCCACTCTAAGCTTCGTACAATAGTTGTATAATCTTCATATTATTAGATACAAAAAATATAAATCCAGCCCTGCGTCTGGTAAGTCACGAACATTGATATTTTCTGTTTTTGGAGTGTAATGTATTACTTTACATCAATGTTATTTTTATATCAATAAAATTAAGTTATCAATCAAAATTCTTCTTAAAACATTTTTGTTCCTGTTTACCTTTCGTGTTACTTTCATACAACTTAATTAATCAAACTTGTGCTTCAATGTTATAGGTTTAATGGTTTACATTTGTTGACCTCCGATTTACGTTTCACAAAGATTGATAAAACGTTATATAGCAGGTTAAATTGTAATGGTTACAGAATCCGATCAAAATAATAATAAGATAATCTGAACAGTACAAACCAGCAACATTTCTAGAAACTAGAAATAGAATATCTGGTCTGCAAGAATCAATGAACACATAGTAAGTAACAATAACAAAACAAGTTAGGAAATGCGTACGTAGCGTAACGATACTGGTGCATTAGCCAGAATTTGAACTTTTGACATTAGTAAATAATCGGTATATTTCCCGGCTGGTGATCTGCCACGCGAGGATTCGCCTGTTCTGTGAACCAAAACAAATCAGGTCTTTATGTAAAGTGTCCGCCATTTTCGTCCGATTTTAACAAAAATTTAAAAATATATCGACAAATATCAGCAAAACTCCCTGATTTCAAATTTAATTACAATTCATTTAGCTCTTCTTAAGTTGTTACGTACAGAAAGGTCGAAGTTTAGTTGCTAATGCTCGTGAAAAGACTTGAGATTGTATACAGATATACAATAATTTAATAAGAAGTAGAAACCGTATGATAATTTGATCCCTTGTCAACATGGCGTAATGCGTCCTCGTACTGTAAATGGAGAAAGCCTTCAGATATGGGGGATAACTGCAAATATATTGAATAAGCAATCGGGGATAACCGACAAAGGGTGGTACAGTACATTCGAGGGTGGGCAGGAGTTAACAACAACTCAGTGGGCATATGGGCCAGATTAGACAAGGGTTGAACTGAACCAGCAGACGATTGTACATTTTATCTACTGAAATGGAAATTATAATTATCACATAAGGAAATATGCCAGTGATTATGAGGGTAGATTTTGTAGTGGTAGGGTATAATATACAATACTAAGATGGCGTTGATGTGTATTCTGCATATGAATGTCAAACAGAGGATAACGGTGATCATTTATGAGTACCGCATGCAAATTCTGTTACATTTCAACACGAAGTAGGTAAACTGTAATAGTAAACGAGACTTTGCATACAACTAGCATCAAAATGGAGTTAGAGTAATGAACTTTGCGACGTCACAAAGCCAGTCAAGGGTGTAATGTTTTCACATCGAAAAATTCATGAATATACTTGGAATTGTACTGATCGCATTCTGGTAGATACAAGACGATATTCAAGTTTACTTCATATCCGGTCTTTTCGTACAGCTTAATTTGTCAAAGACGCATCACGGCACACAACATTTCGAAAACGGGGTATGAAATTGGAAAAAAAAAACATAAATATGTATCTATGTGCACGTTAAGAAATGGTTATTATTATTATTATTATTTAGTGTTCTGTCTGACGACAGGCCCATATGAACAGGATCCTTCCCTCCTTTTCTCGGACTGGGACCTGTTCATATACGTTCTTGGCAGATGATCCAGAAGTGGTTTGCCATTGCCTTCTTCTGTGTGTGAATGGAGTAATTGTTGGGATGCCACGGAGAAACCGGGGAAGCCCCCGGAGGAAAACTCCGTGTTGCCTAGACCACGGCCTTGCCCAACACAAGTTATAAATTCGGGCACCGCCGGGAATCGAACCCGAGACCCCAGGAGACGCCAAAATCTAAATAGGTTTGCAGTTTTGGAAGACGAGGATGATAATGTTCACGTCTTGTGAACTCGGTAATGAACCTTCGGACTCCATAAAAAAAACAGGTAATTTATTGAATATCTGAACGACTATTAGCTTCTCAAGATGGATGCTGATTTTAGGAAGACTGCATTCAACATAGGTGAGCCATTAATACCTAAGTCTACTTTTGATGAGATTAAAATTTCTATTGGAAAATTGAATACTTACAAATTGAAAAGAAGGGTTCAAATTAGTTGGTTATATCACTCTTGCAAACAACATACAAAATATTATTCAGCGTTATTCACCCAATATTGACTCCACACATACATGAATTAACTGTGGGTGATAAATTCGAATTGCGACACAATGAATCAACTACTTATCAGATATTCTGCATTCGTCAGACGACGGAGAAGGACAGAACAGTAAAATGGGGAGTACATCAGCTATCTATAAGCTTCAAATAAACCCATCACTCAGTAAAGCATTATTATACACAGCCTTATTTAATTTTGTATACTCAGACAACTAATTAGACTAAATAAAATATATTTAAACGAGACTCTTATTAAAATTAGTGTTTGTTGGCTTCATATTTCGATCGTAGATCACAGTGGCCGTGCGGTCTAAAACAGACTTTAATCATCTGAAATCTTGGGTCGTGTGTTCGAATCCGGAGCATGGATGTACGTCAGCAGTTTTATAGGTTGTGCTGTCCTTTGTAGGTAGAGGTCTTGCATCGTATTGACACGCCCACCCCCGTCTTCAAGTTACCCTCCTAACAGCTGTCTAACACGGCTTTAATGGCAGCTACATGAAGAAACACGTGTTTCATATGTACATTTATTGGATTGAAGTTACATCAGATAGGGCCCAGTGTATGGCTTTTATTATGACGGCAATGAACACTAGTTCTTGACAAGATAATCGAATGTCTGCTTCCCTGTGAACACGTGTGCATTACCGTGTGACAATATGTGACCATTATCTCGTTGAACAGCGTGAAATTGTCATTCATGAGGTCGCTTGTCCTTTGGAGCAATTGGCAGTGTCTGTTTTATAAGAGGAAGATGGCGAACACACACAGACGATACAGCTGAAGAAAATTGGTCTCTTATCCTAAGGAAAGAACAGAGCCTGTTGGTTGTGACATTAGGATCAAAGAGAGAGGACTTTACATTACCTAATGAGGAGCTTCTAATATTATTAGGGCCATCTTATTAACATTTTTATTTGTTTATGGTTTATTTAATAACTCTGTTAGTAGCTTAGATTATATAGCGTCAATGCTATGATGATTAATGAATTGGAAATTATATCGAAGGAAGCGGCCGTGGCCTATTTTAAGATACTATCCCTGAATTTGGCTGGAGGGACTGAAGGAAAAATGACGGAAATCCTCGGTCACCATAACCGATCTGCATCCGGGACATCCCGATATGAAGAACGAGTGATGACCACGAGGTCGCGAAGTTTATTTTATTACGGTCATCAAATCAAAGGAGAAAAGATGAGTGGGACATGTAACACACACATACAGGGTAGATAAACAATAGATACAAAATTGTAGTCTGAAAACTGAAGGTAAGAGGCCATTTCGGAGACATAGTCGTAGATGAAAGTATAATATTAAAGTGAATTTTATAGTTATTTAGCTAATAAGGCAGTCACAGCGTTAGACTATTATTGTATACGTCACTTAGATGGTTTTCGGAAGCACTCAGACTGAACTGCAGGTAGACCAACTTGCAAGGAGTTCTAATGAATACGTACGGTACTCCTCTGCAGCTTCGTGAAAGAGTGGCTCATCTGTCAGTGTGGCACATTATGATTATCTGTATTGTCCCTACACAAAAGGAATTTATCTAATCTTTACCTCCGGACATAAAATGAACGCATTTTGTGTTGCCAAGCCTGTTCGTTAAAGCAGGTGGTATACATAGTTACCACTACGGTAAAACATTCTTCATATGAAACAGTAATTTTGTATTTACGAACCAAACAAAGCATTTTGAAAAGTTAAAGCAGACGGTATACATAGTTTCCACTGTGATAAGACAGTTTGTATACCTAGTAATAATTATAGATTTGTGGGTATAGAGTTAGTTAACGTTAAACCAGGTGGTACACATAGTTACCATTTCGAGGAGTCAGCCAACTGTGAATGCAGGCGCATTCCGGGTTGCTAGTGCGCCCCCCCACCACATCAAAGCCAATTGGTGTTGAGTTGTGTGGCCTATATGAGGGCAATCACAGCCAGAAGAAGCATCAGTATTGGCAAGACTGTTGTGCGGTGTAGATCGGTGTTGTTTGTGTTCAGAAGTAAGTCTTTTTCTTATTACTACAAGCTTGGAAATATGACTTAACACGTTCACTACCGTTAATAATATACTCATTATGGATACATGGTGGAGACGGCTTCTATCTTATACACGGTAGTTTTGCTACTAGAAATTTTTGCGTAACGCAAGTAGGAGGATATCGAAGACCCCCCACCCCCCCTCGCCAACCCCCATAGACTCTTAACGTTAAAAATGTGGGTTCGTTCTTAAGCAAACTTTTTGAACGATAAACTTGTACAGTGTAGTATTCGGTTATTTAAGGTCATACTAACACAGAAAACGTACAGCATATACATATATTACATAATGACTTTATATCAAAACATTATATATATATTATTTATTGGTAATTATCAATCTAAAAATTACTTAAAGTGTTTAAACGAAACTGGAAGTCGTAGCCGAGTGGTTAGCATTCCTATTCCTTGTTAGGAAGATCAAATCTGAACCTCAATACCAACAATTTGAGATTTTTCTTTGGTTTTTCTCAGCACTTCCAGGTAAATGCTGGGATACTATCTTAAATTAGAAAATGATCGCTTCTTTTCACATTCTTTCCAATACATTACCCATTAATCATGTCATCTGACGCCATAAGCCACCTGAGCTCTGAGGTCAGCGTTCTATAAATCACAAATAAGTAAATAATTTTTAGGACGTTGGTGGTTTAAGGAGTTTAAGCGAAATAAACGGCGGTTGTTGGACAATCAAGGGAGACTTTCTATCATTGGTCAACAACCGTATTTGAAGGATTTGAACTATGTTCTTGTAATTTAGCAGCTGCATTTCTCTCTGCAAGGAAATGAGTCATAGTGGGACGCGGAGAGCGGACGCACCGCGTAGCGTCATGTTGTGGCAGATCTGCATTAAAATGCTTAATATTAAGACAAGTATAATGGGGCGTATAGGCTTACGTCTAGTAGTAAGTTCTATTTTGTGTGCTGTAATATTGAGCATATTGTTCATAATTTTCAAAACCGACAACTAAAATGCATGTTCTTAAAAGAAAATTGGTATGGTTTATTGCAAGTTAACGTACTCTACGCGTAAAATTATTCTGGTGCATTTACCAGAATTTTACCTTTGACATTTAAACAATATCATAATCATAATAGCGAAGGTAGACAGCAGATTCGCCACATAATTACTTAGACACGTATAAAAGTGTCTTTATGTAACATGTCTGTTATTGATGTCCAATTTTTAGCCAACGTAACTCATATCAAATTTCATGGAAATCCGCTAGGCCATTCTCGAGTAGTTTCATGCGTACAGACAGAAAGACAAAGGAATTTTAATAGGCCTGCAAATGATCTTAGAGAAATATGTTGCAAAGGGGTGGACCCAGTTTAACTGGTTAAGCCTAGGATCCGGTAATGGACTCTAATGAACAGTAACAAACATTCTGATACGTAAAAGACGGGAATTTATTGATTAGGTCAACCACTGAAATTTTGAAGGAAAACCCTACACTATGGAAACAGAACATCGAAGCAAAATAGTTATTATTGTTTTAATGTAGAACTTTAAAATGTTTAAGTTCTATCACGGAATTTTGTTTTATACTGTACTGGACTTAAAAACTTGTAAACATAATTTATTACGGAAGTATTAATTATCTTCTCTGTGTTTGTTGTGTTATTCGGCGTACTTACTGTCGATAAAAATTGATCAACAATAAATTTGCCTATCCTGTTTTATTTGGTGTAGTCAATAATTTTTAATGATCATTTCAAAGTTAGGGTGTAAAATATTAGAGGATTCATGGTGTTTATAAATTTCTAACTTTGTTTTTCAACAAAAAATACGTAAAAGATGATCTGCTTTACAGAAATATTTTATATACGATAAAAATTAGACTTTCATAATTTACGTTTGTTTGGCTTTCCTGGTAAGTGACGAGCAATAATTTGCATGCGTATATTGATTACATTTTTTATATCATGTTCTTTCGTCTTGGTAGAAACGCTGTGCATGTTGGTCACTCACCTCCCCAAGACCGCGAGGAAAAGCATCTACACGCGGATGAATTAAATGTTTTAAGATGCGTGTTACACCCCAATTATTCGCAGACATCACTTTAAAATTTAAAACTTTTCAGGCGAATGAATGCTATAAAATCCTTTCAGGCGACAGCCGTGTTAATCCTGAGTTACGAACCAACGTTTCAGAGGATAGCTCTATCTCCGTTATCGGGGTCAATGCGAAGAATGAATAAAAGTCACTGATGTTGCTCACCTTGACCCTGGTAATGAAGACATTCTCTCCTAAACATTGGTTTTTAATTGAGGATTGACACAGCTGATCGCTGAAGACGGTTTTATAGGAAGGTCGTAGATTAATTTTGAATGGTTGGATAATCGATGAGTGCCTAAAAAGTTGTCGCTGCCTTAAAGGCAACCATTTTCTTCACTAACTGTGGTAAACATCTACCAGACTTCACGACGCTACTACCCAGAAGGCCGTGAGAACCTCAAATCCTACACACGTTTAGTTTATAGTTATAGACCTACTAACTGATAGCGTATCTGCCCACCTAAGACAGAGGGTCTTTCTTGAAACATTCCTACTAGTTCTGTAGTTTGTCGATAAAATCCCAATCTTTCACGGAAACCGAGTGTTCATCACCGTGCTCACAAGAGCTTGTCACTGGCTCTTTAGTCACTTGAATACAGATATACCTCCAGGCCCAGATTTTCGGTTTTAATAGTGCTGAAATTTCCCATTTATCATCCTGTGTTTTCATAAAACAAACTGACTGAAATAATTGTTTATTTTGACGGCGTTGTGAATAGCTTTTTCGTAAATGTTAAGAATGGCTTAACTCAATTGACTTTAATCTATCTTACCTAGTACGAAATATATATGTTTCATTTGGTATTTGTTACCTTATTTAACGCCAGTGATCGCTTTGTGCATTGCGGTTCTCAAGCAACGAAACAACGGTAGACATAGATCGCTTATGCATTATAAAACCGGTTACGATCGCACCGCAATCTAACGGGGAGAACCCAATAACGCTGATTAAAGAAATTTTATTCGTAGGACTACCGTAGAATGTCCCTTCAAAGTTGACAGGAACGAACCGTTTGTGTCTTGAACAGTAATGCAACGTATCATAGCATTAACTTCGCAAATTGCATTAAACGTATAAGATTTATAAAATCTGTTTATAAAGTAAATTACGTAGATATGAAAATACGTTCAAGACGACTGAAACAAAATTTCTGCAAAACTCACCAACACAAATCCGACCGCCTGACTCCAGATTATAGCCTAACGCTAACTCCAACTCCGTCAAACTCCACCATAAACACCATCATGGCTTTTTTCGCATTTCTTGCTATCAGAAGACATTCATATCTGCTTACATTTCATTTGGTGCGATCCATCGTCATAATCGATTTGGAAGTCTAGTCGTGGCGATAAAATATATCTAGTGTAAATGAAATGGCACCTAGCGTACGTCAGTTCAAATTTATTTAGTAATTGCTTGATTATAAATATTGCATAAGATAGTGTAATTGCGTCATATTGTGAATATTATATCAATTATTTATTTTAATCCGTCTGATCACACCTATTCGAAGACACTAGTACTTCTGGACATATCGGGACACTCACTCCTACATCCTTGGCCGATATGTACATCTAATAATATTTAAGAAAAACAACACCTTCGCCCAAAAATGGAAAAACAAACATAATGAAACATCACCAAAAAACTACAGAAATCATAATTGAGTTTTAAGTTCTTAGATATATTTTACACCTGATGATGGTTTTATAAAAACCGAAATATGTTGTGTAAATGTTCCGAAATATAAATCGATCAATCGATATGGAACATAAATGATATTTTATTACCTTAATTATAAGAAATTTTAAATAAAATTTTTTATTGTGATCAGACGGATTAAAATAAATAATTGATATAAATATTGCATAAAACAAAATTTTTATAAACAAGAATTTAGGAACATGGCGAATTTGCGAATTTTTTTTTCTGTGTAGGCCTATACATTTTTTTATTTTGAATATAAATTTTCAAAAGATAATACTCGTCATAAATTATTATCCGTCAAAAGGGTTTTAATGACCGTATTTTATAAGAAAAATTGACATGTGAATGTGTTCAGTGGGACGTGGAGTATAGGGGCGAGGCAGAAGATTTGAGCCTGTTTGCATAGTATTCGTGGGTGCATGTTCGGACTTAGGTTACTAATCACGTGATTCTACAATTTTATCTTCTCTCGCTTCTGTACGACCTTTGAACCTAAAATTCTCTCAAACTGCTGCCTTCGTTGTGACCTCTTGATCTGTCTAATCGGCTACCATGCGACATCTTACTCTCCAACGTTTTGAACTTTACAGACTCTTATCCTCATATGCTACTGTTACCAAGTTTTATAGCCACAATTATGTTCCGTTTACATTTTCGTTCCGAATTACCCGGTATTGAAACTGTCCTCGTAAATGTTTTGATCGTCGTATGTCTTTACAATAGTTAACATTTGCACATATCAAGTATTCATCGTTAAATTTATTGCTCAGATAATGTTATATTAGTTTTGTAAAAAAAAATGTATCAATCATGTGCTTTATTTAATCGGAAGTTGGGGGTTATCCGTGTCGCTCTGCCTTCTCAGCATCATGAATGACCACTTCAAGATATCTGTATTCGTGGCAGCCCCCCGTTTGTCTTCTCGCAACAGAATCCTCGTTCATCTGCCCATCGCTCGTCACTCAAACGATCTGACCCATGGGTTATTCTTTTGTCACATTTCAGCCATTATATTACTTTGTCGGACTCGTGCATGACGAAACGGTACTTAAATTTCTTACTTTCGTTATTACTTAATCATCGGCCAAAGAAACGTAATCCCACTTCTTCATTCTTAAATACCTTGGGCTAACCTGAAACAACAGTGTAAATTGTACTTCCTAGAAAGTAAGGAAGAAAGAAATTCGTTTAGGACA